GATTTGCAACCCATGTCTTTCAAGAAGCATATTTTTTGTTCTTGGAGAAAATCTGTGCTAGCCTCCATTTCAAGCTACCTGGCCCTGAAACCTCCCCCTTTAAACTTGCATGACTTCTTTCCTTTCCTGCCTGTTGCTGGAAGGTCAGATGGTCTTTGAATGGCAGAGGATGAGGAAAACAGCAGTGGGATGCCCTTGTTTTGTTAACAACCCCTGGCTGGAAGATGATCTCTGACAAGTGGGGGCATGTAGCAGGATATTTTCCCCTTACTAAACTGTGCAGCAGAGCAGACACATTCCTTTATGAGCAGCAGTTGAGTAGAAAGTGAAACTTTCAATCCATGTATTAAAACTGCCCCGTCACCTTGGCATAAGGAAGTGATCGACCTGAGAGTAACGTCGTTTTTGTGCAAAACTCCCTTACTCTCCACTAGCCCTTCCTTATTTGATACCACTTATTTTTAATCTGCCTCCACCGCAGATTTCCTCCGGCTTCTCTATGTACTAGAGATGGCATTTTTCCGCCATTCATAAAGATACAGTATTTTTGAAAATCACCTTTTTGTGCCTTCTGAAATGCATTGTATTGTACCGGGCAGTGTACATTATCCTTCTTCCTTTAGGAAAAAAAAAAAGCGGTAGGCTTTCCCTGCGAAGGACTTTGTCCATGTTTGCAAATCACTTGTTTCCACCACCAATCGATAGGATTTCCATTTAGCTGTACAAAGCGCACTAGTTAGATATGAACCTGCTGCTATACTGAAAGCAGTAGTGAGCGCAGACCAGCCTAAATGAGACACTGTCTTGATTAGATGAAGGTTGGCAACTTCATTTGCCCAGTCATCATACTGCATTTCCAATGGCTATTTAGAAATGCATCACCACGAACTTGCTTGGAGTAATTGAATATAATTGTCTTTTTAAACCACGAGTGTAAAAACATCCATCCTGGTAAATGGCGTGTGTTGCTGCTGCTTCTGTTGCCAGCTCACTGCTCTCTTCAGCAGGGATGGGGACGGGAGGCGGAAGGGAATGCTGATATTTATGAATTAATAGTTGATTGCCTACAAAGCTATTCATTAATTTAGACCAAGCATCCCCAAGAAAATTAAAGGGCTAGCATATATCACTGTAACTCCAGAAAACATGTATAAGCAGTAAAGAAGCCCTGGTGTGAAAAGCTGAAGAGGGAAGCCACTGAAAAAAATGATTTGTGAAGCCAAACAACAATTACCAGGTTCTCCTAGTTAATGAGAACCTAAAAGCGAAGCTGTCTGGAAACAAAAATGAAGCCGATGAGTATCCTGTGTCTCCAAGTGGGCTGCAGCTTAAAAATAATAATAATAAAGAGTATATGGTCGAAATGGAAAAGAAAAGAATTAGATGTTTCGATTGCTGTCGGCACTGATATTTGAAGCATTGCTAAAGAATTCTTCTAAAATGTTGGTTTTGTATCCATTGTATCCCAAAGAGAAAAGCAAGGCAGGAAGGGATCCCTCCTACCCTTGTCATGGAAGAAATAGTCTTACAGATGAATTATTGATGCGGCCTTGGGAGTCAGAAGGGAAGACCTTCAAACTGTTAGTTAGAAGGTAAGGCCTACAGGGCCAGATTTTCAAAAGACCTCAGCATCCCGTTTTTCCCATTGGGAACTGAGCTCTGTTGAAACCTTGGCCTAGGCAGCCCATGATGACGCAAATTCCCTATATTTATTCACCTACCACAGTTACTTTTTTCCTGAAAATTAGCCATCCCGAATTACTTATTTTAAGAGAGTAAACTGATTTCTGCAGCAGAGTAGAGGCGGGGGAACATTGAACGATGGCAGAAGACTGTGCTAGGGCTAGAGCTACCAGCTGCATGGAGCAGGGGCAAAGTCCCATAATCAGCATCACTTCTTCCCTTCTCCTTGCTGCAGGGCCCACAGCTACAGGTTTAAACCTCTCACACCTACCGCGGACTTGCCAGGAGTTGTTGGCCAAGCAGCGGAGGGGAGGATGTATGCTCCATGTAGCTGGAGTCTTCCTCCCTATGGCAGAGAAGACTGAAAAAATCTTGTTTTCCTTCAATTTGCCTTCCCAAAACGAGTTATGTGTCTTTTGGGGGTGCGTGGCATATGGATAAATATGGTGTTTGACCTGTCTGGCATGGAGATGGCCAGCAACGTCATGCAGCAGACGAGGACGGGAGGAGAGAGGCATGCAATTTGATTATGTAAATGTGCAACCCTGTTTCTACGTACGACAACGTAAATACTCTCCCTGTACAGCCCAGATGCAGGTCATGGCTCTACCACACAGATTGAACCCGTGGCTTGTAGAGCTTCCTGCATGCCTCTGGAGCTTTTGCAACTGTTATATAGCTGTCATCAGTAGTCGTGAGAGCTAAGGACCTGCTGAATCAGTGAAAAGAGCCCAATGCATTAGGTAAGGCCCTGAGCGTGTGGAACCGAGAAGAGCCAGACCAGCTTCCAAGCTGTCGGAGCAGAGAATCTGGGAGTAGGAATTTTCTGGGAGATCAGGCAAACCACTGAATTATCAAGCTGGACTCCAGAAAGCTACTTGCATTTGGCTGTGCCTTGGGCAGAACAG